AATCATCTTTTCTCAGGATGTGTCGTTCTGTTTCTAACGGCACAGAGTTTATCACCGTACCCTACAGAATGAACTAGTTCTAAATAAAGTTTATTCAAAACAGAACTCAAGAGAGTAAGTGGAGTCAGGTTTTGTTTTCTCCTCACAGCTTCTCCTGTTTTGTCAACACGTTTCTCTCGTGTTGTTTTGCGTCGGGGTCGATGACTTGTCCTTAGGAAATAGATTATTTGACTCACCTCTGTCCTCCTGTGATTGGTCAGGAGCCCCTGTCAATCATCCAACTGTGGAGGAAGTTCCGGTCCTTGCGTCCTGACTTTGCCAGCTCGTACGCAGCCTATCATCATTTTCGCAGCAGGGGGTGGGTCCCTAAAGGAGGGGCCAAATATGGCGTTGACCTCAGTAAGACAGAATATTAACACACTGACACACAATCATTCAGTTGTGTTTGTTGTCTTATTTTAACAATAACTCTACTTTTCTGTATTCAGTGTTGTACAGGAAGGGTCCACCTTTCTACCACGCCAGGTAACGCACACACACAAGTTAACGACGTCTGGATGTTTTTGATGCGTGTGATTTTAAAATCAAAGTCATTTTAAGCAGCTGTCCTCTCTCTCTCGCCATAGTTACTCGGTGGTAATTGAGCGTGTTGACGATGCGTTCGTAGGCTCTGCGTTGCGTCCGTTTTCGTGGCGTTCTCTTGCAGCTCTCAATAGGATCACTGCTAATGTTTCTAAGGTAACCACCCGATTTCATCAGCTCACACGTCACTGTGCTTTTCTATTTGACTCTGAAGATGTTTTCTTTATTTTTTTTTACAGGAGCTGATGTTGTGTTACGTCATCCATCCAGCCGACCAATCAGAGGCTGAACTGGACTCACCTGAGTGTCTGAGGAGATTGAAGGTTCAGGTAACAGACACAGTTCAGAGCTGAATCATTGGTTCTTTGATCAATAATCAGAAATCACGAGGTCTGATCAATAACCTTAGTTTTTTCCACAGGATGTGATCGTCAGCCGGTGGGTTTCCTCCAGGGAGCGGGCAGAGCAGGATGACATCTGATTGGCTGAAAGGAGATGATGGAGGTCCAGAGAAGACGAACTGAAATCAGATTTTATGTGTTTCATAGATTGTTTTATCATTAAAATGAAATATGAGAAAAGGGCGTGCCTGTGTTTGATTGACAGCAGCTGTCACTGTACAGGTGATCACACCTGGAAACATTCACGTTGTTTAAACGACTCAGGTGTCCGTTCATCCTGCGACGACCATCATGTCAGGTTCGTCTGCGAGGATCTCAGAGTGACTGCTGATGATGACTCACCTGTGACCAGGGCTATGAGTGGGCTGTCTCGTGGTCACCATGGAGACAGAGGTGAAGCTCCTGACGTCCCTCACCTGGACGAACAAGTCAATCCAGAGCTGGAAGTAAAAGTTACGTTTGCTGAATGAGATGTAATCGATTACCTTTACTTTGAATTTCTTCCACTTTAGTAAACTTAACTTCGTCATGTGACGTGCATCTGATCTGAATGGAACTTTATTGATATTTACAGTTGGAACCGTTTACAGTGTGTTAAATATGGAACCAGAGGGGGCAGCACTGACACGAGGCTGGAAGCTGCCGGAAGAACTCGTAGAAGAAGAAGAAGAAAAGCGGGACTTCCTGTGTGCGTCCTTAACAAAACTGATTCACGTCCCGCGGAGACGAGGAGCGACCAACGTTATTTCACCTGAGCCGCTGAGTATCCAGGTAAATCTCTTCTCGGTCCCCGGTAACAGACACCAGCCCGGAGCCGAGCCGGTGGAGAAACAGACACATACCGGAGATAAGTGGCGGGAGGCCCGCTCGGCACGGTTAGCTGCTAGGTGCTAGCTGCTAGCAGTGGAGAGCTCAGGTGTGTTTCATACAGTTGTTACCGGGAGTTTGACCCAGTGTAGCTAACAGCTAAGCTAACAGTGGAGCTGGGTCCCTGGTTGATGATGTCACAGGAGGATAGTTACCTGTGCAGGTGCCCCCCCCTTATCCAGACTGACCTGTCACTGATGCGTTAATTGAACCACGTGATCGATTTTTCGGATCAGGTGTGACATCAGATCGTACCTGTGACTGCCAGTCAGTGTTGATTATTGATTGATCAGCTGATTCAATGTTTGAGACGATAGAAGAGACAGAAGTGAATCTATAGATCGACCAGTTCACTGCAGCTGTGTCGATGCGTGTTAAATCACCATCACTCTTGAGTCGAAGGGTTTTATACGTCTCATAGATAGTGAACACCACTGACACGAGGTTGAATGGTTCTGTGTCAGTGTCCTCACTCTACACATTGAACACCGATCACAAGTTATTAAGACCTGAGGTTTGATTTGCTCTAGAATTCATGAAGCACACATGTAATCACAACAACAAAGTCCATGTTGTGTGCACACACAGTTCAACTGCCACACACAACATGAGACACGCACAGCCAGCACATCTGGGTTCACGTGACGGAACAATCCAGATTCAATTCAAAATGTTTCAGGATCAATGTGGAGGAAATGAAAAGAACAAAATGACTCTGCACGAGGAAAGAGAAGCAGTGATGAGACTAAACTGTGCGTGTGTGTGTGTGTGTGTG